AGGAGGAGGAGGAGGAGCAGATAGAGAGTTTCGTTTCGTATTTGGTGGTGTCAACCGTGTGTTTTGCGTCTGCGGCCACGGCCAGCCTGCAGACGGCGTGGATCCCCAGCATTTGTTTAGGGCACATTTTCTAGCCTCATCCCCCTCTCGGGGGTGAGCAATGCTCTCTGCAAATAGGGATGCTTTTTGGCACCAGACGAATACCGCCCTCCACTACGGGTCATGGGCTTTATTGAGAGAACGACCACTAGCCTGGGCCGTCTACGTCACTGCATGCCGCCCTCGCCGTAGGATTTTAGACCATGAGGTAGAGGGTAGAGAGAGTGAAGGGCGGATAGAAGATACGCAGGAGTAGAGCGGGACAATTTTTCCAGCCACTGTTTCAGTAGCTTATTTAGTGCTGAAATGCAGGTGTGAGCATGTAAAGACAACCAAGCGGTATTCAGCCTACCTGGTGGGTCATTTACCTTTTGGCCTCCTGCGGCGTTGCAGACGGAGCCTCATCTTGGGGATGGCGATGCAGTGAGCCGTATGACGTACTGGACGCGTGAAATAGTGAGGACACACGCGTTCGCAAGCAACCAATGTATTCTGCCCTCTCCAGGCCCGAGTTACAGCGCAATCGTACATTTGTCTGCACCTTTCCAATAGCAATATACGCGTACAGGCCTGAAGAGAATTTATGGACAGCAGATGTATGTCAGCCAAGTTGTTTTTTGAACTTTTCAACGGGAATTTTCAAAACTCTAAAATATCATAAATTGTAGCAGATGATGCATGAAATTTTTAGGATGCTCGTCGGGACAACGAGAGCTCGGGCAACTAACTCGCTTGGCAGTCTAAGGGGGGTGCCGAAACCAATTCGGCTAGGCTGATGTCCAGATCTGACTTTACTGCCGCATGAATGCCAAGGAATGCAAGGGGTAATCTGTTAGACCACTTTGATGGGGTCCCTGCGGTACACAGGTCTATAACTGACGGTGAAAAAGCTCAATCATGCCGTTGGCTACGCGGACCGCAACGAATGGAAGAACTTCTTCTCCGCGATCAAAGCTGTCTACGGTCCGCCGAC